GTGACCTGATGACGAACTTTACCTGCTCCCTCAGGTTGGAGTCCCAGGTCAGAGTAGGGAGCTGCTCTGAATGTCCCTGATGCGCAGCCAGGATGCACCCACCTCCCGAGCGCAGCCAGTCCCAGGAGAGCAGAAGACACTCCTGGTTGCGCAAGGGAGCATCATGAGGCCAGGCGCCCAGCCAGGGAAAAACTAACCCCAAACCAAACTTCCAACCCGGCGCCCCGTTATTTCCATTCTAAAACGTACCGCTCACTCCCGTAACAGAAGTCAGCGCACCCCAGCCCCAGTGCGCCTCTCCATCCTGAAGTTGCCCCTAAATTGCACCCATTCTCCTCCCCACGCCACTCAAGGGCCTCCGTGTCTTCTCAGCACTCTCTGCCTTCAGAATCCGCCTTCCGGGCTTTCGTTTCTGCTGGAACCAAACAGAGGCCCGTGCGCGTTACTAGGCGTTTGTCTGCACAACAACCTGGCGGTGCTTTCCTCCGAGCAGGGGAGGCTCCAACCCAGTCCCGAGGGGGCAGGGCGGTCCCTGCACGGGAAGTCCCGCTTCTAGGCGCCTGGGCTCCTGGGCAGGTGCCTATGGGTTGCAGGAGGAGGGAGAGGTGGTTGGGCCGGGCGCCACCTCTTCCCCCGCCCTCCTGGCCCGCCCGCCCGCTCGCCCCCGGGAATGTCGGGACTCCTCCCAGTGCCCAGACTTGAAAGGCAGGGGCTGGTACAGGCCTGGCCCCAACTCTCGCCCCCAAGGTTCAGGGTCTCAGTCCCCGTACAGAGCCGACCGCTGGCACGATGGTGGCCGTCTGGCTGGTGCACGTCGGGCAGAAGCTGCTGCTCTGGGGCGCGCTCAGCGCCATCTCCCTGGCGGGCGTCACCCTGATCCTGAGATTCTTGCAGATGATGGCGACCTACGCGCATAACTGGCTGCAAATGAGGCCCATCACCAGCGTTTCCGGCGCCTATCCTTTGGTGGGACACTCGCTGGTCCTGAAACAAGGAGGGAAAGGTAAGGGACTGCGCGCCCGGGCCTGCCGCATCCCCGCCACGGGCTGTTGGGCCCCTTGCAGGGAACTGCCCGCTTACCCGCCTGGAGCAGCAGGACTGGAAATGCAGGCTGCTGGGTGAGGGGCGACTCTATCACCCTCTGGATAATGGGTTCCTGATTGCTCCAGTTTTCATTACACATAAGTGCAGTGTTTCTAAACTCCCGTCCTTCTGCCTTTTCTCTTCTCATTTTCCCAACTCCTGGCTGCTGATATCTGAAAACACCACCTGCAGCCCTAGGAGGCTTGGCTCAGTGGATAGAGCTTTGGCCTGCGGACTGAAAGCTATTGGTTTGATTCAGGTCCAGGACATATGCCTGGGTTGCCCCCTCCATCCCCAGTGGAGGGTGTGCAGGAGGCAGCTGATCAATGATTCTCTCTCATCATTGATGTTTCTCTCTCTCTCACCCTCTTCCTTTCTCTCTGAAATCAGTAAAAATATATTTAATACGAAAAACAACAACAAACACCACCTTTTTTTCTTCTGTCGTTACTGTTAAAGTCCTAAAGGTAGGACAACTTGTAACTTAGTCTCCCTCTCTCTCTCTCTCTTTCTCTCTCTCTCTCCCTCTCTCTTTCTAAAATTAGGGACGAGAAATGCACATGAGGCCAGAGCCTCTCCCTCCAGAAATCACAACACTTCACCACAACTTTCATTTTCCTCCTTGGTTCTTCTAAGGAGGTTGCATAACAACATGAATTATGATGTTATTCATTAAGACCTGCCCCAAAAGTCATACAGCAAGTTTCAGAAATCTTATTTGTTAGTTTATTGTTGTTTTTATTGAAATCATCTTTTGAAGCTGATAGCCTTTATGTTATGTTATGATAGGGGTAGAGGGATCACTTTAAGTTAGAAAGCTCCTAAAAGTAGCTGGTATTTGCATCCCCCATGAGGGAGGGTGAGTTAGTAAGTTGAGATGCCAAGAACTGAAAAGATTTGCCCCAAGTGACATATTTTAAAATGAGCCTATAGTCTATGTCATTCTAGGCCCTAGACCTAGAATCCAATCACCTCTCAGTTTAATTGAAGACGGTTTATAGACTGAACATCAATTCCAAAGCTTAAAGGGTTATTTCTTTTCCACTTTCCTTTCTCCAAATAAAAATAATGCTGTCATTTCAACTTCACAGGAATACATGAGGCCTTATGGGAGAGTGTTAACAAAATACAGAAAATGTTTCTGGCAGAAGAAATTCAAGTAAACTTTAACCAACCAAACATTAATGCGACTAATGTTGCAAGTGATGCAGCAGATTTTGATATATGAAAACTACATTTGTAAACATCATCATGGTGAACACTAAAGGAAGAACTAATCTTCCCTTCTACCCAAAGGCTTTATAATATTAAAAAATAATGGTGTAGAAATATAGACCCCCCCCCTCCCCAACAGGAAACAATATACTTAAGAAATCTCATCATAGTCTTTTGGGGGAATTTTTCTAAGAATTGAAATCTCTAGTGAATAAGATCCATTTCAAAACAAATTGTTAGTTATTGGATTATTTTAAGTAATTCTCCTTGTAGTTACTTCTGGAGAGAAGAGAATGCTAACACATTATCTTTCTCAAGGGGACTTTTTAATGCATCAACAACTACTGGATCTGGGCATGAGACCAACCTTTGCTCCCTTTCTGCTTGTGCACAAATTGTTTGACTCTGACAAGTTGTTTAAACTCTTTAAGTTAGAGTGTGTCACCCTTAATTTGTAAACGTCACTATATTACAGTTACTTTGAGGATTACATTTAATGCCTGCATTTTCTAGACCATTGTCCAGAACTTGGTTTGAGTCCATTTTTTCATTGTCAATCATGCAGTTATTTGAGGCCCTCCTTTGTGCCCAGCATTGAGCTCAGCAAAATTGGGCATAGCACAACATTTAAAGGTATATTCCCCACCCTCAATACCCTTGTGTCTTGTACAAGAGGCTGTGCCTTTCATTGTGTGGCCACCATCCACATTCTGGCCTCAGAAGTCTCACCTGGAGAATTGCAA